GTGAAAGCTGAGTCAGAGTGCAGCGGCAGGGACGCAATAACCTTAACAATTTATACAAACTACTCAGGACGCGTGGCCGTGGTATCCGCGTGTGGCGTGTGTGGCCTGCGTGGACGGCATGTTGCAGCGCGCGTGTGTGTGTGTGGGACGCGGGATTTGAGTTTGTATGTGTGCGGCCGTGCCGTGGCATTGAAAACGTGCCGACATGCGGTCGGGCGTGCGTGAGTGCTGTGCCTGTATTTGCGCGTTACGTGGCAAGTGTGGGCGTGGGGCGTTCATGTTGTGCGCGCCAGTGTGTGTAGAAATATTTGAGTTTGTATGTGCATGCGTGGCGTGCATGCGTGGGCGGCGCGACAGTGGCCGTGAGTAGTGTGTGCCTGGTATGTGCGCGGTACGTGCAGTGCTTGGGGCGTGAGTGAGTGCGTGCTGTGTAGGCGTGCGTGTCGTAGCGTGCGTCGATGGGCATGACTTACTCTCTCTTGCTCTGCGCTTGCTCTCCATACGCTCTATCCATCGCATCTACGTCTGGCTCTTCCTCCGGCCTCTCTCCTATACCTCTATCTCCCATCCTACGTCTATCTTTCTCTGCTCTGCTCAGCCATAAGCCGTCTATCTCGGCATCTACGCAGTTTCTTGCCTCCCTCTCTCCCATACCTCTATAGTCCATACTACGCGTCCTGCTCTCCTACCTTCTCTCGCCATAGCCTCCTATCTGCGGCCATCCTATGTCCTCTTCGTCGCCTCTCTCCCATAACCACTATCTCCATCTAGCGTCTCTGCTTCCGCTCTCTCTCTCCCATAGGCTTTATCTTCCGCATCTAGCGTTCTCTCTTGCGCTCGCGCTCTCTCGCGCATACCTTCATCTCCATCGTACGTCTCTCTCGCCATACCTTCCTATCTCCCATCACTCCTCTGCTCGCCATACCTCTACCTCTCCATCTCCGTTTGCTCTTCGCTCCCTCTTCCTCCCATACCTCTAATCTCCAACCTTACTCTCTGCTACGCTCGGCGCTCTCCTGACTACCTCATTGCCTATGTCTTCTCCCACTCTACTCTTCCCTCTTCCTGCCTCCTCCGGGTACATCTTCTCCTCCTCCCTCTCTCTCGCCTAAGCTCTCGCTCCCTGCCACCTTGCTCTCACCTATTTCTCTGCCCTCTTCTGGCGCCCGCCTCTCTCTTTCCTCTCTCTTTCTTTGTCTCTTTCACCCATATCTATCTTCGTCTTTGTTGCTCTTGATCTTGACCCTCTGTTATTGTCTACTCTCTGTCTGTCTGTCTCCCCCGCCTCTCTCTCTCTTTCTATATATATTATATATATATATATATTATAGCTATATTAGTATAAGTAAAGTATATCTGTCTCTCTCTTGCTTCGTCCCTCCCTCTCCTTCTCGCCCTTTCTCTTGCTACTATCTCTTTCCTTACTTATGTTCTCTTCTATCTCTCTCTGCCTCTCTCTTGCTCTCTCTCTCTCTCTCTCTCTCTCTCTTTCTTCTTGCTGAATAACTTCCTTCTTAATGATGGCGGTTAGCTTTTTCTTGTCGCCGATTTCTCATACGCTATATACGGCCCTATGAATCACTGGAGATCCAGTATACGTGGAGTTTTTCTAGCTGTCACAAAGTTCTTATGAGTTCTAGTTCGTAGGTGCACTATAAAATCTCCAGGCCATCGCTCATGATAGCTGCATTATCGCAGCTCTGTCATTTCACGTTGACTCACGCCGATGAAACTCAAATGTCTACGCTGGCCATGCACGCGACGCCGGCTCGGTCAGCGCTAGGCCGCCAACTGGCTGACTATTCTTATCAAAAAGCATCGTCTGCGTTTTACGACTGAAAAAATCAGCTGCAATGATGCTGGGCTATATACAGTGTGGGGCGCTATATGGCGCGCGTCTGGCCCAAACTATGCTTTTCTTTAACACGGCAGTGTGGCGGGGCGTGCGTGTAGCGCCGGCGCGGGTGTTGGAGTTTGTAATGTGCGACGGCGCGCGCGTGGCCTACATGGCGTTTCGGGCATGCGTGAATGTGGCAGCGGTGCGGCGGGTAAGGTGCAACTGTGCGGGGCGTGGCGTGCCTGGCAAGCGTGCCGACACTGCGTCGGGCATGGCGTGAATGTGCGTGCGTGCGCGCGAGGGTGCAAGTTGTGCGCTGCGTGGCGTGCGTGGCTGATGGCGTACTACGTATACGCTGTCATTCAGCCAAGTGGCGAGATGAGATAAAGATGTTTCAGTCACCAAAAAGAAATCGCGAAATTTAATAAGCCTACATGGTATAGAAACACGTTTCAGCGGGCGTGGCACGCGATGCAAATAATAATTATTCTTTTCATCATCGCTGAATGGAAAAGCAAAGCGACATTTGAACAGATGTTTGTTTTTACTTCTCTTGCGCATTTGCTAAGAAGCGCGGCGTGTATCCAGCAACATCGAGGCTCGTATGTGCACAAGGCGCGCCTCATTTTGTGTGGTATTGTGCTATGTCAGGCCTGAAATCATACCATAGGCGGGCCAAGCCAATGCAGTAATTCTGAAGTTTGATACGTACACAGTAGCACAGAGTTATTGATAACAGGATTCAGCTTACTATATATAGTTGTTACACTTTTCGGATATTTCTCAGTACAGAGTTGGGCAGCGTCAGCATCCGTTAGCCATGGCAATTTGTAGCTCAGTACGGCTTAAAACCCAGGAAAAACGCAGAAAGCGCAGAAATAGAAGAGAAGAGAAGAGAAGAGGAGCAGACGGAAGGAGAAGAAGATGAGAAACAAGATGGGAAGAGGAAAAGGAGGAGAATAGACAGAGTTGGGAAGGAGAAGAAGAAGGAGAGACAGGAGCACGAGAACACTGGTATGTATACTAAAATGCATTTGCCATTTCTTTTCTTTTCTGTTCTCATGTCGATGAAGAAGTTAGTGCCTTTTGCTGAATGGCTACTAATTATATACTAATGTTAACGGCTAAGATAAGCACTACGACTAATGTTAACATATTAGCGAGGTAGCGTTGACAGAAATCGGCATCGCAGGCTATGCAGAAAACTCACGAGTAACAAATTATAATTTGCATGAAACGAAAAGATGCGAGGCAAAGTCGGCAAATAATTCAAAAGAGTATGTTATCATGTATGATACGCCGCATTGCTAGCGCTGGACATTTTTAGAACGGGGCAATAAACGTATCTGCAATAGTTTTGCAAGTGCTTTTCTAGGCATTTGAATGAATTTTACGATGTTTTGTCCAATACGACATAATTCGATCAAACTAACCTAGCGCAACTGAAGAGGTACTCTGAAAAAAAAAATTTAACGTAGTGTTGCAGGTTAAATGTTTTGAAAAACATGCACGAGCTTATTTTAATATGTAAAATGACAGACCAGACCCTGACCGCCTTTATATCATGCTGATAAAAATTCTGTCAATACTGTCAGTTCAGGAGTGTCAGTTTGTTCTGTTCTGTCAGTTCAGTCAGTTCTGTCCATTCTAGGAGGTGATTAGGCAGAGGCCTATAGACATAGACTGTTTCGTGTTATATCTCTTGTTAGCAGAACCAGTATGGACGATAGAACACAGAGCTAAGTATCAGAGAACTTTATTAGGACCATAGGACGCCATAAGGTACAGAGAGGACGACAGTGGCTCCACCTATGAGCAACATAAATCATAAAACATATTACATTTATTTTGTCTTCACGCAACACCTTCCCTCTTTAAAGGGAAATAGTCGACATATTTTAGAATTCACACTGTTGTCTACTTTACCAAGAAACACACCGAATTATCTTGAAATTCAAAAGATTCTAACATTCAGGGAACATTACGATGAACTTGTAACGATCAGAACTTATTCAAAATTATCTGCTCTAACAGTTCTCAATGCACTCGTATCATCGCCCACTATACATTGAAACGGGCGGTCGGTTTCACTGTCCTACCAGACCTCGTCCGGTAAGGACTTGGCATGCTTCCCTGTGGCAAACGGTCGTTTCCTGTGTCGGCTGGTGTTCGTACCGTTTGCGTACACGTCACATTTCCTGTGGGTTTTGGGACAGTCTCCTCACTCATCTCACTTGCGGGGTCTGTGACACTATCTGTAGTCTGCTTCACAGATGCTTCTGACTGTGGAGGTTTGAAGCGCAACTGTTGACGATTACGTCTCATTACTGTTCCTTCATGAGTGACAACTTCATATGACCTTGGCTGCAGCTGTTTTGGGACTTTGGCAGGCAATCGGTGCCTAGGAACACAAATACAGCGGCAATTCCTCAGCAGCAACGTGCAACGACAAGGCTGTATAACATCAGACGGGCGCCTGCGCAATAGTCGCAACAGCGACCACCAATCCAGCATCCAATGGGACTTCAGCCCCCACGGACAACGTTCAGCGGGTCAGCAGCATGGCAAGGGCCAAGAAACACTTGGTACCCGACGGGTCCGCGACAGCGGGACACGCGTACGCCACCTACTGGTGTACAGTACAAGTGGACAGCGGATAACAAGCCTATCTGCGCAGCATGTGGTCGCATAGGACACAGATGGAGGCAATGCAGAGTTACAGGTCAGCAGGGAAACGCCCACGCTCGATTTTAGGTGAGACAGAAAACCGAGCGAACGGTAAACAGCGGTCTCCAGCGACAGAACGAAGGAAATGGGAAGTGTGTGACACCGGAGATGCACAGAGGGCAACACCTGTATGCTCGCTACGCATAGGGGGAGTATTAACAGACTGTTTGATCCACTCAGGAGCACAGACTACGCGTATAAGCAAGCTGATTTGGAAAAGATTACCGTCATATGTGCGACAGAAAAGTGAGCTGTCAACAACAAACAAACAAACACTAAAATCCGTTACAGAACATCCATTGGTAACAGTAGGCGAAGCGACAATTCCACTTGTCATCGGACGTTACAATACGAAATTCTGATATCAGATAGTTTCGCACCTGCGTAAAACAGCCATATTGGGCTATGATTTCATGAAGGCAGTAGGAATGAAGATCGACTGTCGACGAGGTATATTATCAGTGGGGAAATCAGTGGTCACACTAAAGACAGCTTCTATCGAACGAAGAGAGGTCGAACACATTCAACTTGTCTTACTCAAGAATAAAGTACAGATTCCACCACGCACAATCGTTATCTGCGAATGCAAGGTGATGAGAAACGCACCGGTAAACGCAACGGTACTCATCACAGGAACAGAAGTGTTACCTGCACTACGAGATCAGCCAGGTCTATTCCCTGTGGAGACACTGGACATTGTCAACAAGGAGCATTGCATTAAATTTCCAATAGTGAACACAACGGACACACTGTATGCGTTCGACACTAACAGTGTCATCGCAGTGATTCAGCAAGTTAATGAGAAACAGATAGCATCAATCAAGATAGGACAAGCGTCTCAACATACGCCTGTGCAGCATGGTCCCAGCAACACGCAGAGGGGGGATGCATCAACATCTATTCCGAGCAAGGTCAACCTTGACCATATACCGATGCATCAACGTGCAGCCCTAGAAGATCTGCTACGAAAGAATAGTGATCTATTTGCTGAAAGTAATCTTGATCTTGGGCGTACTAACTTAGTAGAAATGACGATCGATACGGAAGGACATCCACCTATCCGACAAAAGCCATACAGGACACCAATTAATTATCGGCCGATGATCGATCATCATGTTAACCAGCTGCTGGACGCTAACATAATCGAACCCAGCAATAGCCCATGGGCAATCCCAGCCTTCATTGTTTCTAAGAAAGATGAACCTAAGGGATGAATAATCACAGACTACAGGAAGCTCAACAAAGTCACAAGGAAAGATATGTATCCTCTACCCTGTATTCAATACATCCTTGGATCATTGGGAAACGCACGCTTCTATTCAACCCTTGACTTGAAGTCGGGTTACTTTCAAATAGCCATGGCGGAGGAGGACAAGGCTAAGACTTGTTTCATCACGTATAGAGGTGCATTCAATCATAACGTTTTTTTGTTTGGCTTGTCAAACGCACCCAGCATCTATCAGCGATTTTGGACACTGTGTTGGACGGATTACATCACAGGTGCGCTATTCCATACATAGATGATATCATTATCTTTAGTCCAACATTCGATCAGCATCTTTTAGACATCGCTGAGGTTTTCAGTAAGTAAGGCATGTAAGGCAAGTAAAGCATCAAAGTGCGAGTTTCTTAAGGATAAAGTGCACTATTTGGGCCACATCGTTTCACCTGAAGGCGCCGCCCCTGATCCAAAGAAAGTTCAGGTGGTTAAACAACTTAAAGCACCTACAACAGTCAAAGAGATACGCTCATTTTTGAGCATGGCAAGCTACTACCGAGCGCATATTAAGTCATTTGCAACCATTGCCAAGCCGTTAACAGCATTAACGCATAAGTATGCTAAGTTCGAATGGAACAACGATGCGGAACACGCATTTTGGGCATTGAAGCAGAAGCTCGTTGAAGCTCCAATCCTAGCATACCCCGATCTTACCAAGACTTACCGTCTATTCACGGACGCCTCATCATATGCAGTGGGAGCTGCCCTCACACAGACGAATGACGAAGGGAATGAAGTTGTTATCTCCTATATAAGTCATCAATTCAATGAAGGGCAAATGCGTTGGCCAGTCATTGAGAGAGAGTGGCGTATGCAATTATCTACACGCTGCAGAAGCTACGTCATTATCTAGCCGGCGCATAATTCGTGATTGTAAGTGACCATAAGCCACTACAGTATTTACTAACAAGCCCCAACCTCAAGAACGCTCGACTTCAGCGATGGGCGTTGGTCGTCTCAGAGCATAATGCAACAGTTGAGTACCGCTGTAGTCTAGCCCACAGAAATGCGGACGCGCTATCACGAATCAAAGCAGACAATGAGTCCGTATCAGACGTAGAAATCCAACAGATTACTGAAGTGCCAGGTGCAAATGCAAGCACGCCTGAGGACACCCAAGTGCAACAATCCGATACACCAAAGATGAGTATACACGAGCAATCAGAGGAAGCGCAGGAGGATCCGCGACGGGAGGAAATGTTGCCACATAATCAGCCAATGCTAAATCTACAGGAAATCAAAAAGCAACAGCGAGGGGACCCTCAACTACAAAATATTCTGCGAGCACTAACAGAACCGAATACCACCAATAAGGAATTGCAAATCCTGTCAGATTACATGCTTGATGAAGCAAGATTATTGCATCATGTTACACCACCAACAGGACACCAAGCAGCTAGCATTCAACTGGTGATACCACACGTATTCCGGCAGCAAATCATGACAACACTACATGATGATATCTACAGTGGACATCTGGGTTTCGACAAATCCTACGTCAAAATTAAAACGAGGTATTTTTGGCCAGGAATGTATGCAGATGTGCATAACCACATCAGAGCATGCATTCCATGTAATTCCAAGAAGCTACAACACGTACGCTCACCAATGGGAGAAACACCACTGCCTCGAGGGCCTATGGACGTAGTGGCTGTGGACACTTGTCAGTTTCCACTCACACCGCGCGGTAATCGGTATTTGATACACTTTCATTGTCTCTATACCTCGTGGCCTGAAGCTTTTACAGTGAAGGAGAAGAGTGCTGAGACAGTGGCTAATCTTTTGGCAACGGAAATCTTTCCACGGCATTCAGCGCCTCGGATTCAACTCTCGGACAATGGACCAGAGTTCGATAATAAAATACTCACCAAGTTAAAGAACTCGGCATCAATGGCATTAAAGTTGCACCATATCATCCCGCAAGCAACGGTGCCAATGAGAGATGGCATCGAGTCCTTAATTCCATGCTCTCGAGTTACGTAAATAACTCACAGACGGACTGGGATTTAAAGATTCCACCACTGCTTGGAGCCTATCGCACGAGCATCCACGATAGAGCGAGGTTCTCGCCCTATTATTTGCTGTATGGAAGGGAACCCACGTTACCTTTAGACACGTTGTTACGTCCAAGGAGAAAGACTTATGATGAAGACCCCATTGCACAAACGTCGGAGAGATTGCATCAAGCGTATGCACATGTCAGAGATAGAACGCGTCTGGCACGTCTGAAGAACAAGTACCATTATGACAAGCGAGCTAAGCAGCTTAATTTCAA